AGAAAATTTGGGGTTCCTATTTCAACTAGCTCAAGATACTTTTGTTTTGTTTGGCAGGATGGGAAAACACATTTTATTGTTGGAGCAATTGCCAGGCTTTGCTTTTCCCTGCAGACTGGATGCAGTTTTTAACACTGTGCAACCTCAGTCTCTTAGTGCCTCTACCCCTCTTCCTGAAGATGTCCTTGCTGCATTTCTTCATCCTTTGATCCCTCCTGGCATTTTATCTGTAGGATACTCTGTTATAATCATTTAAGAGCTCACGCCAAATAGCCTCTGTCAAGCAAACACACCAGTAGATATGGTTCATACTCTAATGAAAAGAGCCAGCATGGGGACATCTAAACAAATGACAACAATAATAAAAACACTTCATGTTGCCTTTCAAAGTAAGCAGTTATGTAAGCAAATGGACCTAAAAAGCAAGTTCATTACATAATACTTCTTTTTGTAGCCTAGCTTTGTGCTTTAAAATTTTAGGTACTTGATTAAAATGTACCAAAAGAATGTAATTGCCTGTTAGGTGCTGATTGGATCCTTTTGTCAATTATTAACTAAATTCCTAGCTACCACCCCATTACTGAGGCAAAGAGTGAGAACCAAGTCCTCAGTTCAGGAGCTGATGCATACCTTATGCTTTCTTGATACCTGTCCTCAAATTCTGGGTCTGGCAGTCAGGGGGCTCCCCCAGGAGAAAAGGCATCCCATACGCAACCTAGACTAACACCCCTCACATGTACTCCATGCTTCCTAACAAGGCCTTCGGGATCTTTTATGGAAGAAAAAAATGCTAACCTACATTGTTCTCAACCAAAGGTTAATTTGAAAGTTATCTGAAAGATACGCATTTATCATATTAATTAAAAGAAAAGTCCAGCGGGTAAAAATTTTTGGATTTCGTTATCAAAGAGACAGCATAATTATAACAATAATAATACAAGAAACTTCTGAATTTTTACAATGTATTGAAACTGTGTATTTCCGCAAGCATTGGCCCAGTCATTTCTCACATGTCTGTGGTAGGCAGGCGTCATTATACCCATTTCACAGGTGAGCCAACTGAGGCTTGCTTATTTTCTGGGTGAATCTTGTCAGGGGTCCCTTTTCCTTTAGGAAGAACTCTTTCCCAGAAAGAGTTTAAATGCCTGTTTCAGAGACTTCTGGTGTCCTTACTACCATCATTACTATCAGTTCTCCAAACTACATCTGAAGCTGTCAGCGGATATGGCTTAGAGCTAAGCTATGGTGGGGTTTAGGACCTGCGACCTCAAGATATGAAGCCGGAAGGTCACTCTCACCTTCTCCTCCCCTTCTCCCCTGAAGCAGGTCATAACATCCTCATTTGAGAGGTGTCCTTTCTATATCCAGAGGAAAGGAACTGAAGACACAGAGATGCCAAGAACGATCTGAACAAACAGTCCTTGCTAAGTTCCCCCCAAATTTTTACCATTAGATCATACTTTTTTGTCCTCCAATTGTATTTTTCCACTACTGCCCATTCTTCAAATCTAAGTATAAAAATACACAAGTCTACCTGTTTCTTCAGAGCTTGATTTCTGAAGTCTCCCCCAAGACCTTATTAAATTTATATTTAATAAATTTGTATGCTTTTCTCTTGTTAATCTGTGCTTTGTTGTAGGCACCTCAGCCATGAACCTTGTAAGAAAAAAAAAAATCTTTTCCTCCCCTGTGTCTGTGACATTCACTAAATGTCTGTACAGTACCTCGCTCCCATGACAGGCCATTGTTTGGTTTTGTTTTTGTTTTTAACCCCTGTCTACTTCTAAACTACAAAGTGGTCATCTGGGACTTTGCACTTATTATTCAATGGTGTGGCTTTTATTGACACTATATTTTTTCCATTTCTCACAATTTGCTATGGAGTTGCTGCTCAGTAAAAAGGAAACAAAAAAAAGTAGCCGCTGTCCTCAAGGGTCTTGGATATCTAAAAAGTTAAGGTGGTGAAAAATGAAGGTTAAAAATCTGTTTCCTCTCACATATTGGAGGTAAATCCTGGCATCATAGGTTTGCTGTTTATAGATCTACCTGACAAAACTGCTCATTTACATGGCTACATTTTCCATTTAAATTTTTTCAGCTGGTCATTCAGCAGCCAGAATAAATGCAATACATTACCTAAGAAATATATTAACAGGAAGAGTATATTATCACCCTTGGTGAAATACCACATAGTAAAATTAATAAAAAGGATACTTTTAAACACAAAACCTAAGGGGAAATGGAGAAAGAAAGTACACTCCTATTTCCGAGAAAAATTATTTTCTTCTTAAATATCACCCTGTGATACCTATATTGTCCTTATAATTTTTTTTTAGAAATTCAAATTAATAGCGTGCAAGGCAATTCTCTGTATGTGAACTGTGTATGCCCACGCCCGGCACCTAACGTATCTGCATAAGATGAGTCGCCTGTTTCTCTGCCCTGTTTCTTCCTTTTCTCTTGGGCTGCAGGTTCCCGGGAGCAGGAGCTGAGCTGCCCCTCCCTGCTTCCCTGGGTGACCTGATGCTCTCTGACTCCCCTCTCATGGCTGCACGCAGGATCGCTCCCTAATCTCACCCACCGCTTCCTCTCTCAGCACTGTCTCCTCTAGAATCCCCCCCATCCATCATTTAGGTCCTGACCGTCCCCCGACTCTCTCCTTACCTACGGTCTGGTTCCACCTGAAATCAGCATCCCTGGCTGCCTCCACACGTACACATGTATTACATACAAAGTGCACGCGCCAGCCACCTCTGAGCTTGCACATTCTGAAAAGGGCAAACACTATACCAAGAGGCCATAAAATATGTTCCTGATAAATAAGGATGGCGTTTCCAGTTTACACAGGATTTAGAGCATTCATATATGGCCCATCACAGCGCTTCATACACAGTGGGTGCTTACGGCTGCCTGCATGCACGAAGTCCTTTATGTTTACTCTACAAAGTGTATCGCCGACTGCTACACGGACAGGGATCAAAGATGCAGGCAGGTAGGGAGATCAGCGAAGCCAAGTGCAAAGAAGGGTCCATGTGCGCGGCAGCTTACCACATAAAGGCTTTCATGGAAATACAGCCCCACGTCATAAAAGTTCCCACCATGCCCGACTGCATGTGTTCTGGTCTTCAGCTGCTCCGTTTGCCACCATGACGAGACACAGCCCCCTAGTCGACCGAGCAGGGACACTCTGAGGAGGTAAGAGCCTTGCGGAGCCTTGTCTTTGAGGCCCCTCAGACATCTGATCTGTATTTGAAGAGGCTGAGGTGACCCAGACTGCGCAGCTTCCATGACAGGCCGGGTTCTGGAGTTAGGCAGGAACTGGGGAAAACCACGCAATTAGTGACAAAGGGCTTCTCAGGCGGGGAAAATAGACAATTATTTTGACTCAACCTGTAATTGTCAGGTATTAGCAATGATAACAGGTGAGGACATACGATATATAATTAGGTGGTCAAAAGGCAAAACTGCCAATGAGAAAGTTTAGCCAAGTTTTCTGCATGGTATGTTAATGATCTGTGACATCAGAAACCATTCATCTATTATCATAAGATAGAATTAACAGGAAACCAAACACCTTTAAAAACCACACAGCATGCCTTTTAAGATAGCTGGGGTTGGTGAACATGGGCGGTAAGCTTCAAAGTCAGAGTTTGAAAGGTGACAGCCCTGACCTACAACACTAATCACACACCGTAATGCCACATTGGTAGGTGAAGTGCAAAATGGATCAGACCAACACCTCACCCGATCCGAATACTTCTGTGCTTTCAACATCATGTCAACTTGCCCCACAGGCTTCAAATGAGAGTCAAGAAATAAAGGAAGGAATGGCATTTGTATGTGCTTTTTCTAAAATCAGCACAAATTGCATGTAACCAAAGGACAGGAGTCACGGATATTTTACAGAACATTTGAATTTCGTTGTTCACCTACAGCTGAGAGAAGTGGGCCCTTTTCATTTTTAATACAAGCTGAACAGTTTATACAGATTGATCAGATTTTTAATGGACTGTTGTTTCAGCTTAAACAAAAATTAAACAGGGATTAATAATAACTCCAATGTTGATAAATCATATTTTCTATACTCACAAGTCCCTAATAGTTTTCAGAATAATTTGACTTCGAAGAATCCTCTGTTACATTGTGCTTTAAGCAAAAATAATGTCATTTTGGGAAGGAAGCTACTCTCTTGGCCACCCAAATTGGTGGTACCACCAGTTAATCTGCGGCCAACAGTAGGTACTTTTAAATCCTGCCTAGACTTTATTTTATGAGAGATAATATATATTTCCATATAGATAGAATGCTTCTGGAATTAAATCACAGTTAAATAAACAGTGAAAGTTGTTCAACTTCCTTTGTTTTTTCATACAAATCATACTTAAAAACTAATCAGAATAACAATTATTTTTGGTTTAATTAGAAAATCTTAATTAACAATAAAGACTTAACCTTAATATTTTGGTTTCCAAAAATATTTTAAAAATTAACACCATGTGAATAAATAAGACAATCTTTTTAAACCTCAAGGCAGGATTACTGATGCAGGCAGACTGAGTTATTAAACACATTCTAAATTAAACGCCTCTATGAATTTTATACTGAAATACATTGTGATAGTTTTGCATGCCAAATGTGACATTTTGTATTTTAGATTCATCTTCTGTAGTAATTTTGGAAATGTCATACAAACAAAGATTTTGTCATTTACCAGTGGAATTACTATGCATGGCCGCTTAGCCATCTCTTTGCCGGCTCTTGTGGTTGTTTCAAGTCAGCAAGCCATAAAAAATCTTTATCTCTCTGAAACACAGCAATTTGGAAGATAATCGAATGGTGACTAGGGGGCAGAAATGCCAGTCTGAGGAATTATACCACAATCTCTCTTGCATTTACAACCTTCCTCAAAGCAAGTGTCAGCTGAGTAGGAAAAGGAGCTAGAAGATTCATCAAATCTCAAGCCTCGTCTCATTTGCATGGTGGCAGGCCTGCCTCATTGTCTAGTGGGACTGAACCTGGTTCCACTGACACCCTGTTTTGAGGAATTCCAGCAGCTTTGCCATTGAGAGTTTTTCGCCATTCTATTTTAGCATAGAATTCTCGTCAAAAAACACTTATTAAGACCTACTAAAACTCTGTTTCTCTAGATTCCTACAGGAAGAAAAGCACAGCAGGCCACTGTCAATACAATTGATCTCATCATTTAACATTTTGCATCAGAGAAAAAGTCAGTGGCAAGAGCCTCACCTTCCAGCAGGGTCCTGCTGCTCCCTTTGAGTCATTAGTTACTTCTTTGAGGATAGCAAGCTGGGCTATGCTGTCCTTTTTACAAACATTCAGGTCTGCAGTGAATGGCTGACTTAGAGTTCTGCAGCAGTTATAAGAAAGGAAAGATGAAAGAGAAATTGACAATGACATGTCGCATAAAGGTTTGCCTTTAGAACCACAAAACAATTGGATGTTTTCCTTAAACAATTTGCCTGATTCACTATTTAGAAATTAGATAACAACACATTACAGGTGGTACAATTGATCCAAGTAAGGGAAGGAAAGCATGACCCTATAAAATATGAGTTACTGTATTAGCCACTGATCGCCCAACAATTAAAATGTCACTTGTTTTAGAAATTAACAGAAGAGCAAATATTCGATAAGACTTTTTGCCACTTCATTTTCTATCTTTGCTTCTCCTTCAATCTTATAAATTGTTACAGAAACTTTGAAGAAAAAATTAATAGCTAATATGAAATAAACTTTAAACTTTTTCTTTTTTTAATGCAACGGCTAGAGATCAAGATCTGTTTCTACCTTCAAAATGCTTTCTAGGCTTTTTTTCCCTCCTATGAGCATTTACTGACTATATTTGACTATATTTGAGGTTCTGCTTTATTGTTGACTCTTCTTTCATTTTCCTTTTTTTTTTCTTTTTTGCTCTCAAATCCTGATAGTGTTCTTCTGTCTTCCCTAATTCATTTGAATTAAGAAGGATCTTGTATCTTATTTCTCCTGACTTAAGCTTAATTCCATCAGCAGGGCCATCTGTGACAATGACTGTACCCCCACCAGAGGAATAGCCTTTTTGGGTCTCATTGCTGATTTAGTTTCCTGTGATACAAATGATTTCCCTTAATTTGGTTAGAGCTACACTGACACAAGGGTTCATTAGGACACCCATTTGCTGGCAATTCAATTTCAAATTAAATACACTTTGTTGTAAATTTTATTACTTTTAAACTACTGTATCTATTGTCTTTAAAGGCCCTATTATACAGTTATAAAGGTAAACAGATTTCATTAGTAAACATCAAACATTTTATGTTAACCACAGTGAGATGATTTCTTCAGTTTCCTTCTTTGTTCTCTTGACAAGAATTGTAAAGCACTCAGAAATATCCTAAAAACTTAATCTAAATAATTAGAACTATTAGAACCATTCATGATTATAATCCCAAAGAAAAAAAGAAAAAGAAAACACAGTCCCTGGTTACAATTCCTGTTCTTTGTAATTAAAGGTTTTCTAAAAATACCTTCCCCAAAGTGAAAAAGGAACACAATGCGTATCAAAAGGTTAAGTCACATCTTTAACCTGATACCAGGTACCTCGAGATAAGTCTAGGGATTTGTGTCTCCTTGGAGCAATCATATTCTAGGTCAGAAGCCAGAACCAGACATCAGCTCACTTTTGCATTAGGACCTAAGGCGTGTTATTATTCTTGTTTTCCCTCTTCTAGAGCACTTATTAATTTTGTGGTTATATAAGTATATGTGCCTGTGCATTATAAAAAAAAACATTTTTTAATTATATAAAAAGCACTTCCCCCCTCCAAGTAACTCATTAGCCCACAGCCCAGAGATAACCACTGGAAAAATGCTGACATCTATTCTTCATAGCTGGGTAGCTAGACACACTTTTTTTTTTTCTTTACAAAATGTGACTGTCACTTTAAATACTATTTTGTAACCTGTATTTTCCACCTTGTATATTATAGGCATTTTCCATAAGATTTTTTTTTTTTACTACAGCATGACATTTGAGTATTATCTAGTATTTAATTCTGAGAGTCTACCGTAACTTATTTAAATGATCCCTTATCATTGGATATTTAGGGTAGTTCCTATTTTCACTCTTGTAAGTTAGCCTAGAATTAACTCTCTGGCATATAAAATCTTGTAGACTTCCTTGGCCATTTTCTTGGCATAAAGTCCTGTCATTAGAAACGTCAGGCACAGGAGGCATGCTGTCCTACACCTCACGGACCTCTACCTTCGGCTACCTAGCTGTCGAAGTGATGCCTTAGTAATATACAATCCCGTCTCCCCCGCCTTTTCTCTCAGGCGGTAAATAATCCTCACGGGAGACAGGTCCCACTTTGGTGACATCTTATTGGCACTGCTAGTAGGGTTATGAGTTCAGGAAAATGGCCCTGAATAAGCAGCACTGATGTATATCAGGGTTTCTCAACACCAGCACTACTGACATTTTGAACCAGATAATTCTCTGCGGTGGGGGCTGCCCTCTGCATTGCAGGATCCCTGGTCTCCACCCACTAGAAGCCATTGGCAACTCCCCCAGTCCCAGTCATGACAACCAAAAAACGTCCCCTAGGGGGGCAAAATTGATCCCTGCTGAGAACCACTGCTGTGCAGCATTAACTAGTATTTAGCCAGTGCTCAGCGGACTCAAGGCACTCTTTCAGATACATTGTATTTCCTATCTCATTCAAGCCTTAAAGTAATCCGACAAGGTATTATTGCTCCTTCTTAACTGGTGAGAAACTAATGTCGAGGAATGTTAGTTCTCTTGTTGTGACCATCGTAGTCATAAGGGTAAAGCCTGAAATTCCACGGGAGACCAACCAACTTGAGAACTGCCTCGGAACCTGCTACCACTGTGCCTCCGACATTAGAATGGAGGAGCCGAGACTACATCCAGACCTTGGAAGTTTCTACACAGAACCGAGGAATCTGATATTTTCTAGAAGATCAATATGACACGACTCCCAGCTACAGTACTTCTCTAACGCCCCATCCCCAGATATCATAAGGGAGAAGGGGCCTAAGTATATCCCAGGATGAGATGGGGTCATGGTTGCCAAAAACCTGACACTCAGGGTATCAGACTAGGGGGTCTCTGTCATCTATAATTGGTCCATATTTAATTCATAGCAAAACACACACACACAAAACACATTAAATCTAACATTAAGGAACATACCTCTCAAACGTTTTGTCGGTCTTTAAACATGACATAGGAATGTATTGGTTGAGTCCTTCCCCTTCAAATATCAAATCCTGCATGAAAGAAAATAACAATAAAATGATTTAAAACACACTTGAAATATCTATGTAAAAATTAGTTTTTCTAAGACCAGGATATGCTGACCCTCAGAGGTTAAGGTTTCTGGAAACAAATGAGAAATGGGAATTATACCTTAGCAGTTACTTTATTATGGGGTCTTGACTTTTCTTTCTTAGTTACTTTTTGGCGAGGAAGGTAGAGAGAGTAGTAAACAATATAACGAAAGGAGGAGAAATGCTTGGTGCATACAATGCAGCTTTTGTTGTCTCTTTCTTTTTCTCTATTTTACACACACATATGCACACACACACACAACATAATGGCATAGTTTTAGAATATGTAAATGGACATATGGCTGGATGTGTAGGATATGAAACATATTAATAGTAATTTGGGTCATATAATTTATCATCTAACCCAGGGCACTTTAGAAGTAAAAGGGGAAACTCAATTATGCTAAAACAATAGGCATAACCCAGTACTATCCTATCCAAACTATAATGCATAGAAATCCTATTAATAATACTATTAATAATACTCCTGCAGAGGTCCTTAAAGGGTCCCTTACAGGCAAATATCAACATATTCAGTGAAGGTGAATGATGAAAAGGAGGGAGAGAGAGAGAAAGAGAGAGAGAGAGAGAGCACGCACACATGCACACAAGAGGGAAGCTGCTGTCCCTTAATAACCTAATCTTGAAACGACACACCATTACTTCTGCTGTATGCTTTCTGCCACACAGATAAACCCCAATACAATGTAGGACAGAAATACACAAAGATGTGAATAAATAATGGGAGGCCAGCAGTTATGAAATCCAGGTAAGCAAATATCGGAGGTTCTTTGATGAAGTCTCAAGGTCCGGGAATAATTCTCCATGGCTTTCAGCCCTATCCTCTGGGCTTTGGGTTCCATCTTCTGAATCTCCCTTCGTTCTTTCATGAAAGGTAGTACATCTTTGCAGTTCAGTCTTTTCATCAGCCAACTTCCTGCCAGTAGAATTTGAGAGTCCAAAGACCTCTTCATTTTGTTTTCTCTCTGTGCCTTTCGGTCCAGGCAGGTGATTTTTCTGCTTATATAATTTCTTTTAAAACTCTGTGGGTCTCCTGTGAATCTTATTGGAGTCTACTTCATTAGACAAAGATCGAACCTACCAATCTCTTCAAAATAAGACCTTTTCTACCTTGGCCTCCCATTGGTAGGAAGAGGGACGATCCCCTTCGACTCCCTGGAAATCCTATTGTTTGATGGAGGGGAACTGTGAGACTCAACCCTCATCTCTTTAGAGTGCCTTTCGTCTTAGTGAATGGTATTTTGAAGTACCATCATTGCTATTTCAGAGGTCTTGACAAGACTTGAGTGCAACACTCTTGACTTCATCCCTGAGCTTTATTTTCCTGGGTTTTGATCTTTGCTCAGAAGCCATTTCCTCGTTTTAGCATGGTTTGCCATCCAAGGAGGCTGAGAATTGTCAGCAGTTGTTTACTATTTCAAGTCATGACTCATTTTGTTAAACTGTCCTTCCTTTACTTCATCTCTCACCTCTCACATCCCATAAGAAGCAGCAAGAGTAAACCAGGCGACACTTGCAGTCCTCTAGCTGGGAATCTCCTCAGCGAGATCATCCAGTTCTAAGTGCATTTTCTGCTTTTCACATTTCTACTTTTCTACTTTTCACAACAGATTGCTGAACTCTCTGACTCTCTGTAATAAAGATTCCCCATCCTCCACTTTCTAGTGAGATTTTCCTCACTTTTCTGCAAGCTCTCACCCCACTTCTCAAAGACCATGAGGTTTCTAGTAACATCTTCTTCAAGGTACTTAAAGTCGAACACTCTCCTCAAAGTCCACTGTGTAGTTTCAATGTCATGCTCATGCTTTAGGTTTTATTTTGGCAACAGTCCATGTCCAGGTACCAAAATCTGCATTATTTATCACTTTCTAGCACATTACCCCAAACTTTAGCAACTTAAAACAAAAAACATTTACGATCTTACTCAATCTCTGAGGATCAGAAATCCGGAAGCCACTCAGCTGTGTTTTCCTGGCTCAAGATCTCTCACAAAGGTGGAATCAAGCTGTTGACTGGGTGTGAAGTCATCTCGAGGGTAAAACGAGGCTGGAGAATGTTTCCCAGCTCAGTCGCGTGTCTGTTGGCCTCAGTTTATTGCTTGCTGGTGGTCAAAGGCTTTGTCTCCTCCCTACGTGGGCCTCTCCATGGGCTGCTCATGAGATGGCTGCTTGCTGCCTCCAGAGTGAGAGATGAAATGGTTCAAAAAGAAAGCTCCACACATATCCATTAAAATGGGTGTAGGAAGGAAATTCAAAAGACTGCAAAATGTTAGGATAGAAGAGAAAACTTGCCAGGGTCATATGTCAGCCTAGATACCATGTTATATACTATGCTTGTTTCTTAACGCAACTCTGCCAAAATGTCCTCTAAAATAGGTATGTGAGATAAAATAAAACAGTATGACTCAATGCAGTAGATATTCTGAAGTTTATCATCTAGTAATCGGAACATGTGAGATTTCACAATAGCAATGCTGGTCTATATTTATTGAGCACTAACAGATACTGTACTTCATCCAGCTTCTCATTCTATAAATATTTATTGTGGGTTTGCTTTATGACAGGCACTGTGCTAGAAGCCAGGAATACAGAGGTATAAAAATCATATCATACCTGATATTATAAAGCCTTCTTTCTGGTGGGTATGATAAATAAAAAAAATAAACTTTAGAAACAGAATAGAATGATGGCAAGTATGGTAAGTGCAATGGATGGATGCCACAATCCCAAGGATAATATAGAAAATAATAATTTTATGGGGCAAGGTTATAGCAGAGGGACATCAGAGAAGACAATGACATTTAAAATGAGACGTGATGGAAAAGAAGCGTTAGCCATTCAGAGAGTGGGAGAAATTGATTGTTCTAGGCAGTGAGAGCAGCATGTGAAAAGGCCCTGGGGTAGGAGATAATTTTGCATATTTGAAAAACTGAAAGATCGGTATGACTTAGATACAGTCACCAGGGGAGAATATTGGAAAACGGGGTTGGAAACATAAGCAGAAGCCAGATCCTGCTGAATCCACAGATGATGTCAATGGATCTACATGTCATGTGCAGTTGGGAAGCCAGTAAGGAGTTTTAAGCAGAGGAGTGATATTGTCTGATTTGCATATAATAGGCAAAGACATTTTAAAAATATTAAATGGCTGTTTGCTTATTCCTTTCTCCTATAAATCATATTTCTCAGAAAATCCAACTATTTTAGCTCCAGATAACTGGAGAGGGGAAATGCCTCCCCAACATGGAGGACATTAGAGAGACGTCACATCCAGACACGAGCAAGTGGGGAAGTCCCTTCTTATTTCCAGTGGGTTGTGAGCTGAGGAAGGAGTACCAGAAAGGGAAACAAGTAGTCAAGTTGACACATGTCATGCTTTTTCTCCCTCCAACACTTATCCTGCAGGAGTTGCAGAAGGAGTGTGCAACCATTTGAGGAGAAACCCGAGAGCAGAGGAGTCATGCCAGACTTCCAGTTAAAACTCTAAGAGACCACATTGTATAACACCCCACACACCAACAAGGCAGGGTGTGATATTACCAGATTAGAGTACAGCGGGTGCGTTGTTGTGGCTTAAACTCAAAGAAAACCCATGTTCTGTGCCTGTATCAGTCAGGGTCTCAACAGAAATGGATGCACTCCCAAAATTAGATTCAAGGAGGAAGATTTATTTCCAAAGGCATTACTACAAAGCTGTGGATTTAAAGGGACTATAAGGGAAGCTGTTTCCACATCTAGGCTTTCCAAGGGTTGAGGAGAAAGAGTGGTCACCACACTCTGGCGGAAGGGAGACTCATGTAGATAAGACTCTGTTCTGCCAGGTTAAGACTCCACCTTAACCGTACAGTAACAGAGGAAATATTCTCCTCCCTTTCTTCCTCTCTCTTCCCTCCCTCCTATCCCTGACCAAAACTCCCCTTTGACAGAAAGCAACCAGAAGCCAGAGGGCTCAGGAGCCCCAACCTCTGTGGTGGCACAGCAGAGGAGGGCAGGACTCAACCTGTGGGGGAAGAAGTAACATAATGAACATTGTGCCCATAATCTCACTTAGTTCCTCTGAGACTGAAAGCTCTCCAGAAATTTCCACTCCTATGGAGGGATAATCTCATTCAGAAGTCATGGGATGAGTGAAGCTTGTAAGCTTACCAAGGGGCAAATGGTGCACGGGGGCAAGCTGTAGGGTGAACCTCTTGACTGAGCTATAAGGTGCTGCTGTTGGGCTAGATGAGGAAGGTGAGGGAAAACAGAACCAGAGATGAACGTCGAGTTTCTGCATTAAGTAAATTGATGGCCTGTTGTGCCATTTACTGAGATAGAAAAGGTAGGGTAAGTAATGAACAGTGTTTTGAGGAACAAAACAAGCTTCCATGTTGGACATGTTAAATTTGAGGTGTTTTTAAGATACTCAAATGGCAGTGTTGAGTAGGAATCAGACACATGGGTCTGGCGGTGCTAATTAAAAGAAGAGAGCAGAGCTTCTAGCTGTCACCAGCAAAAGGACGGAATTAGGTGATGGAAACTAACAAAGTCACCCCCATGAGACACCTCTAAGCACTTCTGCATGCATCGTATCATTTAATCCTTTGTACGTGTTATATCGTTTAATCTCCACGATAGCCCTATGATGTGTACTCTTTAGTGTCATAATTATTTCAAACATGAGTAAATTGAGGCTTAGAGACCTTAAGACATTTGCCCAAGGTTACAGTACGTGCTGGTGACTATTGCCGACTCTCTGTGATTCAGCTCTTACCCAGCATGACTGGTCCTTATATAGTCGTTTATTGCCCTGCGAGAGGTTACATTCATACGCTGACAGTTATTTTTCACTCGCTGACCCCATATATTTTCTATTACTAGCCCATAACAAACACCCCTGTGAAAACAATTAAGGCTCAGATCAATGATGTATATGGTCCT